GATTTGCGCCTTTCGGTAATAACATTTCTTCCCAAGTACCATTCATTATTAGCTGGTCTATTTCCATTTTTACAGCTTCTTCCCATTCTTTTGCCTGGGGACTTCTCATGGCTTCCTTGTATGTCCTTGGGATCCTTATACCATGGATTATCTTAGCTTGCAGTGCGTAGTCTTCATCATTTTCCGGAATTTGGCAAAATAGAGCGTACAATCCTTTGAAAATTCCTTTTCGAACCCTTTTCCCATATATTTGAGGCTGTGTCATTGCTGCAAGCGCATGCTCAAGCTGGTCTGAATTTACGAGCTTATTCCTCTGGTTTTTGAAGAAGGATATCATTGCCCTAATGCGCTTTGCCTGACGCTCATCTTCATCACCATTTCCAGATCTTTTCCTTGGTCTAAACAAATACCTGGAGGTGGGTATCACGACTTTCTTGTCGTTATTTTCCCTTTCAATTCCTGTATAATCCTCCATTTTTTTTTGTTGTCAAATAGTCATCTTCCCATTCTGAATCAATGTCCATGGTTGTTTGAATTTCTACCTGCTTCGATAGAAGTTGTGTGGTCACCTCTGCCTCATTAATTTCAGATGATTCTAAAGGAGGTGATTCGTTATTAGTAGATGGCTGAGTGTTAAAATCTTCGCAGACTATGTCTGATTCGTGATTTTCCTTCGGATTCTTTTTCTTTTTCTTTTCTGCGGAGGATTTCTTTTCTTTTCGACGTTTTTCATCTGCAGAAGTAGTAACTTGTATCGAACTAGTCGCATTCTCAGGGGCAACAGTTACTTTACTTTTCCCATCGACTGCTTTGTCATTTTTTATGATTTCCGATGGTTCCGCTATCGTTGGGAGTTCAAACGTGATTATATCTCCTGAAATTTTAATTGCATTTTCTACTTGTTCTTGTTGGATAGCTGGAAGTTTTGGTGATGGCGCTATCTGTGGTGCATCGACCAGTTCTATATCCTGTGTAGAAGGTTGCTCGACATTTAGTTGTTGGCTTTCAATTTGCTCGTTTGGAGACGAATGACTAGTCAATTGTTGTTGATTATCGTCGGAAAATTTCTTTGGTCTACCGCGAGGCTTTCGATCAATTAAGCCCGTGTGTGTCCCCTGCCCAGTAACCTGGCTAGGTAAATTTCTGAGTCTCAAGTCTAATCTGCCACCTTTAGAATTTTCATCGAACTCAATTGAACTTGATCTTTGAACATAACCTAAGTCTGCCGAGTAATACCAATACTGCTTTGTAGTTTCATTACTATACCCCAAAAAAACTGCTTGTCTTCCTCTGTTAGCTTGTTTATTATGAAGTTGCTTCACTGGGATTGTCTTTGAGTCTACATGTACGTAGCAAATACACCCCCAGACTTTTAGATGGTCTGATTTTTGCTTTATCCCAGTGTATGCTTCCTCTGGAGATGTCCTTTTTCCATTAATTTTGGGGCCACGTGCTAGTCTATTTCGTACATGGGCATCAGTTTCTGCAGCAAAACACCAAAATTCTGCAGGAAGGCTAGCAGCGTGAGTCATTGTTCTTATCGCATTTTCCGTTGTTTGAATGGCTCGTTCAGCTGCCCCGTTTTGGTGTGAAGAAGCAATCGTGGTGTACTGGGCACTTACACCGTCCTTTTTCTGCCATTCGTCCATGATCTTCTTCAATTCCGGTGCATTGTCTGACCTGCATGCGATTAGTTTTTTTTCTGTCTTTCTTTCCTCTAAAAGTTTCCATTCGCGCAGCGCCGAGATTGCCTGATCTTTCGTTTTCAGAGGAATGGTCCAGATCTTCCGTGAGTAGCTATCGACTATCTGTAAGAAGTACTCAAATCCACGAATAGACATCACAAACGGGCCCGCAATGTCAATGGAGATTTGGGCGAGAACTTTATCTTTATGTACCTCAAGTTCTTTGCTTATCTTTCTCTTCATCTTACCTATTTTACAAGATTCGCAGATCCGTTTCTCTTTCTCAGGGATGGAAATCTTTTTGATTCCGCTCGCTACTTCGTGAAGGTGACGTAAAGCCTCGGATCCGTAATGGCCAAATCTTCTATGTATTAGTCTATATCTTTTCCTTTTAGACTTATAAGCCTCATCATGTTCCGATATATCCGGATCTTCATCTGTACTTTCCACCTGAGTATTAGTATCTACTGAGGATTTGACAGATTTACTTTCGTTTGAAATGAAAGCTAGCTCGGGAGTTTCTGAGAATACGGACTTTAGCATGTATAAGCCATTCTTTTGCTTTGCGTGCAGAAAAGTTTTATGATCATTTCTGAATTGAAGGAACTCATCAAGTTTCTTAAAATACATGTTCTTGGAGTCGTGTATCCCAACAATACCATCTCGGCACAAACATCGAGCTGAAATTAAATTTATCCCAAGTCCAGGGACGAACAAACAATCCTTAAGATAGCAGAAAGATCCATCATTTGCCTCGACTCTAACAGTCCCACGAGCTTCTGACCATAGTATGCCTCCTCCTACCTGGATTTGGCGTTTCTTTTTGAGCTTTTCTAATGGTCCTCTAAAAAGCTTGAGTTGGTCAGTCATGTGTGATGATGCGCCAGTGTCAATTGGCCATTCTGAAGGTCGCTTACATGAATTTCTTTTTTTGCTCTTTTGTGAGGGCAGCTGTCTCCACGACTGATTCATCTGATGAGCTAGAGGAGCATGTTTCCGAGGATGATGATGATTCATCGACATTTGTACCTACAAACCCGCGAGATTTTTTGGAGCTTTTCTTCTTTGAGTCAACATGAGTCCTTCTAGAACTAGACAGCTTCTTTTTCTCTCTTTTTTCTTTTCTCAATTGGTTTTGTGCCCACCCAAGGTGTTCACAATTGACGATGAGATGATTCCCAAAGCAGAGATAGCACTCTATGGCATCAATCATCTCGACGTCGGAATCTTGGTTCTGATTCTGTTTTGGGCGACGACTCTTTGTCGTACGAGTCCGTGCAGCATGAGCGTGCTCATTGTCGGGAGCAAATCTCAGCCTTTCTTCCTTGTTCTCGAGATGTTTCAGCTGTTCATCGACAGAAAGCTCATTGTTGATGCTTAGAGAATCGACCGTCGACTGGTAAACTTTTGGAAGAGCAGAGATGAGGATGAGTAGTAGAGCCTCGTCATCGTACTGGCCTTTTGCTGATGGCTTGGCGGAGACAATTTTTCTTCTGATCTCTTTAAGTTTGTTGTAGGCATCCATTATTGTAAGCCCAGATGTGAACTCGAAATTGTTCAGCTCTTTGGTGTACTGCGCGGCTGCAAGCTTACTAGGCTTTGAGTACTTTGACTTTAGATACTTCCAAAGTTCTGCCGGAGTCTCATACTCATCCAGAAGCGCTTGGTCGTCATTGTCTAACCCCTTTAGAAGCAACACCTTTATTATTCCAGCGTCTTTCAAATACTTTGACTTCTTCTCTATGTTCAAGAAGATGGTTTTGCTCTGTGATTTTTGTGCCACTTCCTCGACATCGGCCCTCTTTGAAATTGACGGGTCTGGCGCAGCAACTTGGGCGTATTCGGTCAGAGTCTTTTCTAGAACGTGAGTGACTCCCTTGCATTCAAAGTTTGCTTTCATTAGCCTGAACCAATTTTCATGGTTAAGCTTGGAGAGTTTTTCTCCCCCCCAATGGCCGGCGTCTTCCATCATGATGTGTTGCGTTAGACGATTTGTGTCGGATCGTCTGTGTTAGTTTGTGAATTCGAGTCGTATTTGTTGAAGTCCCGACGTTGCCGAGTGATGAATTGTAAAATAAAATTGGCCCCCGGCCAAGGTTGAACGCTCAGAAATTCCGTTTACGTTCCTATTGTAAGACGGTATTCTAGCACGAATCCTTTCGTGCAGCTTTTCGGCTTTCAGTACAGTCCTGTCGTACTTCACGGTCCTATTGTGCGCCGATAGTGAGTGAGTTGAATAACCTATGACCTACGGCGTAAACCGGACTTCATAACCTGTTAAAAAGAAGCACCCTACTGTGTAATTATCACCGACAGAGTACTAATGTGCAAGGGAAGCAAGAAGGTAGGTTCAATAGGGTTTTAGATTAACTGGCTCTAGAATCTAACGGGAGTAAGTCTTCTATTAGTACCACACTCAATCTCGCTTCCACGCGACCAACATGGCTAGCCTCATACATCAAGAGTGTGTTATCCCTGCTACGCACTGACACATTTACAATATTTCTTTACAATAAGATTGTATATATAATATCGTTATTGTTATTGTTATCTTAGTTATTACAACAATGTGACGTCAAGTTTACAATTACACATAGTGTGGAACACTAACCGAGAAGCGTGATACAAATACAGAGACATCACATGACTTTCAACAGGTATTTGCGAATGAAATGCAGAGTATGAGTGTCTCTAACGTCAAAAGAGTCATCCTACATTTATTTATAGCATCCGTCGTGTGTCATAGCTAGATAGCCGCATACACATAATGATTTAAGAAGTCTCCCTTAATGTCCGTGAGAACAAACTTGAAGTTTTTAAAGTTGGATTTTCAAAATATAGCTAGTCTCTTAAATGTAGATTCTAGTAGTTCTCAATAGTTATTGGCTCAGTTAGGACTATAATACAAATCTTATCTAATCTAATGTGTACAGGAAACATTAGCTATTTTTATCAAGACGGAATGCTGTAGAATACCTGCTAAGGCTCAATATCGTCAGCGAAAATGACATCCTCTCCAGCACATACGAATTTCAAATCTCGAGGTTTGCGAAAACCGTACACAATCTCGAGATGAAATGAATCCTCAACTTAGCTGGAAGAATATTATTGAAATTTGACAAAATATTTAGATGCTTGTCTAGAATTTGAAGTACTTGAACCCTTGCGCCAATCAAATCCCATAAATATATCCCCTTTGCACACCGCCCTGAAATTGACGTTAGCTTGTGAAAGTGTCTAAATACAGCAACGTAATGGTTACAGTAGACTGCAAATAGTGTTCATCTGACTACGTTTTTGTAGGATTAATCAGATTTATTTTAAATAACCAATGTATACTTTTTGGAATATTTCTTTTCCATTTTGAAGTATGACCTCGCCGTGACATGGTATGATATTTTGAAAATCCCAGGAGCCAATACGCTTGACACTTTTTTTATAGCTAGAGCGATCTTTGGTAAATGCGAAGCGTACCATAAACTTTTGCCCCCGAGCAGCACCTGTGGTTGATAGCATCTTATTTGCGAATTTTGTAAGTTTATTTGGTGATTTTAATTCTATTTCAGAGTACTGCTCTTTTGCAGGTAGGTTAAATAGTAAATCAGCCTCGATAAGTGTTTTGGTTACTTTATGAAAGAAAACTAGCTCTTCATTTTTATGCCCATCTACAAACTCATAATCAAAGTCCTGATCTAGCTCCGGTGAAATTGATATTGACTGTTTGTTTTCGGCGGTAAAAATTGTATGCCAATGAATTTGCGTTAGTGATGGATCCAAAATACGCTGGTTATTTCGTTTTGATACTAAATTCCGCATGCCGATAACATGGGCGTTGGGAAAAGCAGTGGCCCAGGCAGAGAGATACAAGTGGTGTTCTAAATCAGGGGCGATTAGGTAACCAACAGGATCACAATCTTTCACATGACTACACTCAGGTACGAGCGACTGTATTTTTTCTTCTACGTCGCGTGTGAGAGTACCTGGAGAGAAAACCGCCAATTTTCCTGTGGACAATTTGACTGTAAATTTTTTAGTCAAATTAAGGGATGAAAATGAAATGAAGACAAACTTATAGTTGTGCGACCACCAATGGCAATCTTTCCGTAACGCGAAAATTTGAATGAAACTGTAGTTATACTAGGAAAAGGCTGGCCGAATACAATAGGACTTTGCTGACTGGAGATATGTGAGCTGTTGTTTGATTCAGTGTTATTAAGTGGCGTTTCCATGCCATAAATTTGTTCCATGGCTCGAGCTGAAGTACTTATGCCAGTTATGACGCATAAGATTTGAGCGAAGGCTAAACATCTTTTGATCTAATTCACAAAGTCAGCTTACTTTAAGGTTAGAAAAGTGAGGACTTCTGGAACTACCATTTTAAAATAAGCTGGAGTATAGAAGATTACGGATTGGAGTATAGAAGATTACGGATTGGAGTATCCAAATTGCGATATAGGATTCCAAAATTATGGGTACAATACTCTCTATATATGAGTAACAATACTTTATGACGTACTAGATGACTCAGCGGGGTATTGACGGCTTTTTTCCTTTAATTATTAAAATTGGTGCAAATTGGTACACTTTTTATCGCGATAGGCTCGTCACGCATCCTTGCGCAAATTAGACCTTAAATCGATGAGTATGGTCATCTTTCTCCATGTGTTGTTACATGATGGGATCCTCTATTCCACGGTTGGTGATAAAAAATTCGTGACATTGCTAGCAACTGGTATCTTTGTAATACAAATAGAATATCAAGAGTAGTTGTCTTTCTTGGAGATGGCATTATTACGATATTTCAAAGACCGATAGCTTGTAACTTCTCCCATAACCATACTATAAAAACGAATTAACCAATTGAGCCATAATTAGTAACACGAGGCTCGTGGCCCGACCCGTCAATACTTTCACGGCTGCCAATATATATCATAGTCCTTCACTGTCTAGAAGTATAGAATTAGAAGTAAACAATATTCGACATGCTAAATGCAACTGTGCCATGACAAATTTATTACAGAAGTTTCTCATGGCCGTCAACTTGGATAAGGCTATAGCATAAATTTAATTTAGTAAATGAGAGAAATTGCACAAGGTCTTGGCATACTTTTGTCGTTTTGATGTTTTTAGTCAAAGTTGTCGGCTAGGTGATTACAGCACGCTCATTGAAGAATTTCTGTTGAAAAGAGCATATTTATGTCATGATGATTCTAAATGGCGATAAATTTTCCGGAAGATCAATCTTAAACCTTGATCTTTCCTCTCGGCCAGTAGTTATGGAAGTAGCTACTGAGAAAATGACACTTGAGTGAACAGCCTCACCGCAAACGGTATAATCTATTTGATGATTGACATAAATTCTCCGAGATTATTGTGCATGAATAACTTCAGATACTTCAAGATGCCATAAAACCAACATGGTATAGTGGGCCAGGTTATCTGGAGACAGAGATTGCTGCACATAGAGAGTAAAGATGTGCAGTCACCTTCCTCCACGACCGAGCAAATCAAGTGGCGTCGGAGAGAATCAGCATAACTAGTGAACAGATCCAGAATCCACTGACACCAGCCATCATCATTTAATGAAAATTTAAACGACCAAGGCACACACGTATAAGGCCAATGCAGAGCCATTGAAGGACTGCATGACCATGACATGTAAGCCCTCGTGCTTGGCATTTCAGGGCTCAGGCATTCCTAGTGCCAAGACGGACACCATCATCAGTACAATTTCACCCAACATGATAACTTTAACAAGCCGGCAAAGACGAATTCTTCACCTTCCAGTGGTGCCGGTGTAATCGCTCAGTATGCTCTGCATATCTGGGATAGCCAAGAAGAATCGCATCCGAATCGAAGTCGAAAGCAAACACATTTATATCTCCATTTGACGACTTCTCAACCATGCAGCACTCATCATTATCTTCTGAGTCCTCAACCCCGATCTAACCACATATCACTTCGCCTCGACGACCGATAAAGGCTTCACCCCAATTGCAAACAGGAGCTTGCCTCATTCATTACCGGTCATCACCCACTACAAATTTACGACGCTATTTATACCCGCAAGGAGGAAATCAAGTCGAAAAATACAAAGTTGGGGTCTTGGTTTATGGGGGACTGCTGCTCTAATGTGTTTATACATGTTGAGGAAGGACAGGCGGCTGAGATGTGGAGCAAGAGGGTGAACAGGTCTCTCAAGACCATGCTGGGACTGACATTTTCGAGGAGTTTTCAACTTTGGGTTATTTGTGAGCGCCAAGACCGAGATTTCGGCTAATTAGCAAGGAGGGCTTCTTCTATCGATGAGTCAACGGCACTCCCCAGCGCCCTGGACGGTATAAAAGAAGCTAGGCTAAGCTACTATACAGCAATCACGCTCTGTCAAGACTTTTCTGACATTTCGGCACGACCTTCGGGAAGGAGTTGGAAGGAGGCTAGAAAGGCAGAGTGTGAATTCTCCGAGGTACCCACAAGTCTGCAGCGCCCAGCTGGCCGGCCTCTTCGAACGCTTCAGAAGGGGCAATATGTCTTCGGATCTAGTCCTAATGTCGGTATTAGAAGAGCCCCGCACCCAGTGGTTTTTGCGAATTTTCCCGGCTGCCATACACCCGCAAATGGCCATCGTTTCGTTGGCTGGAGAGGGGAGGTAATGAAGGGCTAAGGGCTCCTCTTAGTGTATGATCGAATGAGGACTTGTGAGGGGTGGTACTGTTCGAGGGGAGCTGTATGAGAGGCGTAGGAAGGGATATACTACTGATATAGGTATCCTTGGCCTGTAGGCAGAGAGGACCTGCATGTCCTACATAGTCATAGACTCAGACAGGACAATAAAATGAATTAATAATAATAATAACTTTAACAAGATGTCGCTCATACTTCAGTGGGGGGATTTGATGTATTCAATAGCTGGGTGCCTGCCACAAAATTCCTCCAAAGGGCACAACGACAAGCCTGATTCGAACGGACCTACGAATTAATATAAAAAATTTCTTCATTTAGTACCAATTGCATAGCATGAAATTCGTTGGACGGACGACCTTCATATACACTATAATCTTCGAGCGCAGGATGATAAGATGCTGGCTTTCATTTGCTTTGTTGGGTCAGTGTAGGCGCCAACAAAGGATCGGTGGAAAAGGTGGCAGAATTTCACGGGTAGACACTGAGCTGAATGGCTATTCATCACGGGCGACACATCAATGATCTTTCAAGTAACAAAATAGGATAAGAGATCTGTACAAGGTGTGGCCTGGCTCAGAGGGAAGCCAAATCTGCTAGATAGCCCACGACTCAAGTAGTACAATAAACACATCACACACACGGGGGACGAAACCTAACACCTGTCAGTGGTGTCCCCTACAGACCTCCAGCCTTCACTTTTGAGTATGAGATTGAGTAACACCACCTTTTCAACTTTGAGCTGAGCTATCTCCCCTTCCGTCAAAGACACGCTTCCGACAAAACATAAGACGACCAAGACGATGATAATGATGCTGGGAGTGAGGAAAGATAATGCGCCACCCAACGCTACAACGGTAGTCAGAGAAGCCCTCGTCATATCACAACATATACTACCCACCGGCAGGCGAACAAAAAGCCCACGAAAGCAAAGTAAAAGACCCATCCGCCCTCTAGAAAAGAAGATTTCGACTTGTCTACAAAATCGTCCCTACTAATCTTAACTTCCGAATATACTAGCCAGGAGGGCATCTGAAATACATGAGATACTTGACAACCCCACGTCCGTAACGACATTTGGATACTAGGCTAGCCTCCTTCACAGCAGTCACTGTCGACCAAGACTTTTCCGACATCCTTTCACGACCTTCGGTTTGTCCTGCGGCATGAATCAGGGGAGGATTAAGGAGGAGGCCAGGAAGGTTGAGAGACACTCTTAGGTATACACAGGTTTGCCGCGCCCGGCAGGCCGGCCTCTTCGTCATAAGAGAGCCCCGCAACCAGCACCAAGTGGTTTTTGAGACTTTTCCCTTCGATTCATTCCCAGCTTTGGCCTATCTTAGCATCTCCCCATCTCACCCAGGGGTCGTTTTCTTCATCGGAGGCCTCATCCAGTCGCCCACCAAGGCCTCCTCAGTTTGTGTTCCCATTTGTTTCTTTATGTAGCCCCGCATACAAAGGGTGGAGGAGTTCGAAAATTTTGCACAGTTCACAGGCGTTTTTGATGGGCCGAAAGCAAACCAGTTCTCTGCTGGATGCAAAGATAGCTTTTGGGATAAATGCCAGCACTATTACGCTGGTGGAAGAGAGATGAGGATGAGGAATGCTGACTCACTATCAATTTTAACCTCCTTTGTACATTTCATATCTTCTTCACTGCATTACTTGTACCATGAGCTCAGGGTTTATTAGTTCAGAGATTGGTGTGAGCGAGCAGGGCAAGCCTGAGGGGTAAATCTCGCCTGGCTCCACCAGTCCTACATCTAAATAAATAAAACAGTGTATTTGTCTGTGTTTATTGTACCACTTGAGTCTATGACTATCTAGCACATTGGGCTCCTCTCTGACCAAGGCCACACCTTGTACAATGCTCCTATCCACTTTTGTTACTTGAAAGATCATTGATATATTACCCGTGATGAGTAGTCATTCAGCTCAGTATTTACCCGTGGAATTCGGCCACCTTTTCCACGGAACCTTCTACCCAAAAAAAAAAAAAGGTAGCAATGGAAACTGCGTGCGCGGGAAAAAGTCTCAAAAACCCTGCAGCTCCAGCCAGGCGAGGCCTAGACACCAGGTCCAAATGAGGTGCGCATTTTTTTTGCATCAGATTTTAATTACGTATGCAGCTATCTAGCTATGACACAATGTCAAAGAAAAGTACAGAAAGATGACTCAATTTACAAGAGGAGCACCCATGCCTCGGATTTCATTTGCAAGTACCACTGCGAAGTTATGGTGGCTTTTTCTTCACCCCAAGTTAACCCTCATCCGTGAATACCCACCCAGGGGAACATCTCAAAAACCCTGAGTTACCCAGGCATGCCTCCGTCATCCATCAACTTTTCTCCACGCGAAATGTAATCTGAGATGTCTCCTTCCCAAGTGGAGTAGGTGCCCAGGCTACTCAAACTATACCAGAGAACACCACCAGGTGGCGGATCACAACACCTTCCATCGTTTGCTTGTGTTTTTGTGTCAGCTGCACTCTCGCAAGCGAAGTCTTGGCGCGCACGAAGCTCAATTCGTAAAAGCTCCTTGCCAAAATTCGAAATTTCACGCCCATCGAAAACGTATCCCTCTTCTGCATCATCTTGTAAATTTGTCCTGATTCCTCTCACGTCCATCCAAAGGAACTATCTCCCAGATTTGTGCTCCACGCTTTGCTTCCTCCGTCGGGTATAAATATCGGCGTGGGCGTGTATTTGGTGACCGGCTGAGGCCAGAGAAAGTCAACGAGAGGTGTGGTCATTGGAATGAGGATGTACTTGGTCGTACTTGTAGACTTGATGAAGTCAAGTTGAGAATCGGACTCTTTGGGAGTGAGAGATTGACATGGTGGAGTAATTTGAATTTTTGCCTCGTGGGCCAACTTCTTTGATATTGCGAAATTTGACTGAACTTGGCTCTGGGAGAATATTTCACTCCCAGGTTCGTAGAGGTCACCGCGTACAGGTGTTCAGTCTTGCCCTCGTGTGAGGTGCGCATATTCATCTATATCTCCCTTCTTTGTAACAGTCGAGGTCGACTTGATCCAATCCGCCATCTCCGTATCGGGTGCTGGCTAAATAAAACAGAATAATAAGATGAACACCCATTTCTTCTGAACTAAAGTTCAAACTACTTAAAAATTTTACTCTCATAACTCTGAGTGAATTAATACACTTTTGTCACGCCAACGTACTAAACTGAACACAGCTATTAATGTGAACTTAGGCAGCCGGATTGGAGTGCAATCGGTTAAGGGCCGGACGGTTAGTTTACTGAACGACCATAATTTCCATAGCCGAATCACCAGGATCTAGGATTTTACAACCATGTCACAAGATTGTTGCTGGGTCAGCAGCCAGGCTCACTCCACTATTATCAAGATGATTTTAGACAAACATCGGATGCCAAAGACTACACCAACATGCTTTTGACATCCACTCAAGTCTCTGTGACTATCTCTACCGTCGTCGGTTTGGCTCTCTCTCTCTCTCGTTTCATTGGATCCAGCACATGCTAACCTTCTCTTCATCCCCTAGCAATCCTCTTCACTTTCGCCCTATTCCTCTCTGGATATGTATTACAACAACGAACGCTTCGTGATATTCGTGCCATCATACGCCCTGACTTGGCGCGAGCGCAGGCTCACAGCGATTACGGACTACCAATATTTTGGGGGAGGAAAGATGCCGAGCACGGTCGCTCAGCCTGGGAAGCTCGGGGTGTTGTAGATGCTATATTGGATGATATCATTAACGATGGAACACACGAAGGTGAAATAGAAGGCCAGTGGAATGGTAAGACCAGCAGGATCACAAAAATTTCACCAAGTGAAAGAAGGAAAGAAGTAGACACGTCAGACCAGAAGACAGTCAAGGCTTCCTCTCAGTCGACACTATCACTGAGTCGTGCGGAGCGAAGGAAACTTATAAAATCTCAAATACTGGCTGCTGGAGAGTAAAAAGAAATGTTGGATCATCGAAACCATACTTGGTGACTGCGACTGTTACGGATTATTGTTGGCCCAGCATGATTTAGACGTAAAGGTACAACAGAAAAGCTTCTGATACTTACCGGAAGTACACTTAGGAGTTTACTGAATCGCAATCGTTATGCAAGATATTTGTCGATATTTTATTTGCCGATAACTTACGCACGATAACCTACCGATATGACCACCAATCACATCGATACTATTTTAAGTCGTAAAAATTCGCTCCGGTGAAGCAGAACAGACATCTCAAGCAAATTATATTGCGAAGAAAACTGAGCCAAATAGATAGCGAAGCGTGCGTTCACGCCTTACTCCGGTGGAGAGGGATTTTTGTTACCCAATAGTAAACCCCAGCAAAGTGGTGGCAATATCTCTAAAACCGCACATTAAGATAAGAAAAATGATTAGACCGTGTTGCACAGCCTCGATTTTCAGGTGGGAGTGACGTCAGGTATGCAGTCTTAAATTATGTAAGAAACCCTTAGATTCGTGACTTTTTGTCCCCGACTGGAGCAGATGTACCTGTCACGATCTATTTGAGGGTCTTCATTGCGCTCGAGAAATATAAGACCAGTAGTTCGAGGCAGTATGTTGTACTAACATGATTTAACCTCGTATCATGGTTTTGATGAAAATTTTCATGCTGATACTAAATTAATTTTTCAGCATTGTACCGCTTTACCGCGGTGTCAAGTTTGCAGCGGGGCTTCAGCAGGGTACTTAGCATGCAAACTAACACTCTTTAGGCATAGTCACCTTCTATATTGGAGTTAGCCCCCATATTTGTGCAAATTTTTGAAGATTTTGTAGGGCAGTTTTTATCTGGACACCTTAGTTTGCAGTGGGTCTTTCCTTCGTACTAAACCTAATTGGTATAATGATTGGCTGCATAACATTTTTGCATTTTTGCTACTTGACTTTATAACTTATTTACAAGAGTTCAAAGGTTTTCAAGTTACAAAATAGAGCCAGTCTTGTCCTAACCTTAGTTCTGAACATGTGGCTGGAATATTTTCAGGCCTTAATATCTGGTCGGTCCCCCATCCGCATCTACCACAGCCTGACATCTTGCTGGCATACTCTGAATGAGTCTCACAAGATCTTCGGAAGACACGGAATCACATACCTCCTTTACAATGTTGCGAAGACTATCTTGAGTTCGCTGCTTTCCGCAACCCAGATTCGGATGATGATGCTGGATGTAATCCTTCATCTTACTCCAAACAGCTTCAATCGGGTTAAGATCAGGCGAATTGGCCGGCCAGAAAATCGGTTGAATGAGCCTCTGGCTCATATCTTCCATTGTAATTGCGGCTGTGTGGGCAGGAGCATTATCCTGCATTACGGAAAGCCAAGGTCTCATCGAGACCATGCCATCGATAAGAGGAACTATCTTCTCGCAATATTTTTGGGAGTTAATGGAACCCCATTCCTTCTCCCAAAACAAACAAGGGCCTTTTTCTGGCCCTGCGAAGCAACCCCAGAACATCCATCCGACCCTAGTCTTCAAATTTTCTCCAAAACAATCAGCGTTGTATTCTTTGGAAGTCTAGCTCATAATGTTAGAGCATCAAATTACCATCTTCTTATAGAGGAATGTACGAAAACTTCTTGTCACCCATTCTCTAGAATGTCTTCCATCCTCTACCCAAGTTTCGTCTGCCCATAAAACTGACGTGCAGTCTTCATATGTCCAATTGAGATGAGCTTTGGCCCATTCTCTGCGTATCTTCATAGTTTTCTGAGGTACTAGAGGCTTTAGACGAGCCACATGTCGCTGATATCCTCTTTTTTTAAGATCTCTTTGTATTACCCACTCGCTAACACCATGATGTCTAACGGGGCCAGAGGCGAGTTCCAGAAATGTTTTGCGGCGGTTTCCAGGTAAAGACTCAACGTAAGATATAATCTGATCAACATCATCGGCTTTCGGTCGTATGGATGTTCTTTTTGTATTTTTGGGGGAGACAGTTCCGCGGTGCAGCGAATAAGTAATTTGTCCCCGACAAATGCCTAGTTGCGCGGCAATCTGCGTCTGGTTTTTGCCAGAATCATGGAGCCCATAAATCTTAAAATTTCTTTTAATTTTAATTCATTTATTTTCATTTTTCTAATACCTATAATGTTTTGATCTCTGGATAATTGTTTGATTCGAGATGTTGAAGGTGGCGTTTGAGGTGGATTCATCTGCAAAATAAGGTTAGTATCGTGTGAAGCCGTGTGTCTTCCAAATAAATAATTTTTATTTGTGAAATCTAATTCTTATTGTTACTCAAGTACAAAATGAAAAGAGCTGTGTACCTTTTTAGCGGTCGGCGGTCATAAAAGTGATGGCAAAGAACTAGAGACCAAGTTGGTTTTGCATAAAACTGAAGGTGACATGAAATCAAATTATGCCGCCAGTTTGGGCCTGGAAATACAGGACAAGAATTATATACCCTGTCGAAATGGGCGCTAACAGGGGCACAACCCCTGAAACGAATATGCGCCCCATATAAATCCACTGAAAACTTGAAATCGTGGCACCATAGCACAATGTCTCCAGGATTGAAAACGTTAAACTTGAAACAGGGTTGTTGAAGGGGTTAGCCCTGTAGGCGCAGTTGGGCTAACTTATAATAGGTTAGTATATCGCTCCTCATTACCCCGCTCGCCATGAAGTATGGTCCAATTGTCTTTTTCAAGCATTCGTATAGAAAAACATATTTTCAACGACAATTTTGACTGCCTAACCTACACAGTCCTTGAATCACACGCCCTAATGAGGAAAGTCATGATGGAAATGGGACGTGTACAAAGGAGGAAGAAGAGGGAAGATACACCGAGGGGATTACACAAATCCCCAATGACGAAAACTACCCAACGGTACGATATGAAGGTGCAAGGCTAGAGCAACGATGAGATCTTGGACGGCATTTATATTTCGAAGTCAATGAGGATGTCAAGGGCTCGGGCGCGTGGTGGCCGAGGCTGAAGAGGAAATCGCGCTACGGCGTGTATACAGCGGGTTTCTGGACGGTTAGGCTTGGTATGATTCAACACATAGGTGAAGTCTGAGGTGGTCCGGTCATTAAAGTGGGACGAGGTTTATCTGTACTTCACGGTAGTTAACCTGATCCGGCCGAACCCCACACGTGCTTAAGCTCCAATAGGAGTGCAACGGTAGTCATGTAACCTAGCACGTTAATGAACAAAACAAAACAGTCCTTGAATCATAACACCATTATCAATTCATCCTCTACTATAGCAAACAATGTCTCTCGAAAAGTCTGCTTCAGAAACTATAGTTTGCAAGCATTTAACTCGAGATCAAGTATATCAGGGAATATCACCAGGAGTCGGACCATGGCACCTTTTATCGTTTGCTTGTTTTTATAGTGTCAGCTGCACTCTCGCAAGCGAAGTCTCGGCGCGCACATAGCTCAATTCGTAAAACTCTTGCCATAATTCAAAATGACACGCCCATCGAGTTTGTACCCTACCTTTGCATCATCTTGTGATCTTGTCCTAATCCCTCTCACGTCTATCCCAAAGAGCTATCTCCCAGATTTGTGCGCCACGCTTTGCTTCCTCCGTCGGGTATAAATATCGGCGTGGGCGTGTATTTGGTGACCGGCTGAGGCCAGAAAAGGTCGACGAGAGGTGTGATCATTGGAATGAGGATGTGCTAGGTCGTACTTGTAGACTTGATAAGGTTTAGATAGGATTCGATCTTTCTTGGAATGAAAATTTGAGGTGGATTTATTTGAATCATTGCCTCGTGGACCAACTTCTTTGATATTGCGAAATTTGACTGAACTTGGCTCTGGGAGAATATTTCACTCCTAGGTTCGTAGAGGACACCGCGTACAGGTGTTCAGTCTTGCCCTCCTCATTGAATGTTTGGAGCTCCGAGGGCGTAGTTCCGGTTTATATTTCCTTTCGGATTGAAAACCAGCGCCATAATTTAGACTTTCACAGAAGACCATTGGATAGTACCATTGTTTGCATAACTAATCGACGAATTAGTCATAGGCCTGAATAAAGATCTAACAAATCATATCAATATTTACAGGGACCTAACCCCAGTCATTTTGACAATTTTACATTTTCAAGCCATTAGAGACTGTACTTTTGAGCTGATGATCTGATGTCATGGCGATCCTCAGAACTCAGTTTTAACGATCAACAAACCAAAACCTGCACGGCTACGCCATTGGTGAAGTTTTGGTACTGGATGTACCGGTCACAATTGTCATCCGTTTCTACTATCAGTTTACACATCACATTTGAGTCTGTGCATTGTGAATTTGAAGTTGACGTGCAAGTCTGGAGCCGGAACTATAAACTAGTCGAGGAGAACGCGAACCAAATCTGTTGACCACCCTTATTCACGCTTTCCACTCAATTACTTGTGTCACACGATGAAGCTCTACACTGTCTTTTCGTCGATTGCAATCTTAACAATTGCATCCGCACATTGTGTACTGCCAGCCCCTCCAAATCCAAGTTACCAAGAGCAAATTGTCGTGGAGGAATCTTTATTCGTTCCAGGATCTCGCATCTTAGCGTTCTGTTCACATGAGGACAAGAAAAACGAGATTTCAATCACCAAAATAGAGACATATCCTGATGTACCTGCTACGTGAGTGACCCAAACCACATCCTCTCCACACGAAAAACTACCTAAATTTCAACAGTGGCGATACTGTTCATGGACGGATTATTGGTAGGCAGCGCGGGGTAATCGGCCAAGGTGCCTATGTCATCTTTCGGGACTCCAAGACCAGGAGAAAGCTCAATATTGAGCCTGTTGACTTTTGCAAATTTCTGGAGACTACAGGTAGAAAATGCTACTTTGGCAGCACCATATTTGACCTACGATTTGAATTTAAAGTCCGACCCCTTCCGGGACTGGTGAGTTGATCCGTTGAATTGAGCTTGAGATGCTCAAGTATAGAACTAACAAAGGTTAGACAACCATGATGGTTGACTTGGAACTCTATTCACAATATGATAGAAGAATAACCTGCTTGAGAGCTCCTGTAATTAATAGACTCTGGATGGAAGAGTGAACAGAGCCTTTGGAATATTTTCCTCCGAAAAAACCATCCTATCTAATTAGAAAACTTAAATCTATGTTTGCTCTTTGCGCCTCAAAAATAAAAGCTCCAATGTGAATATGCAGTAGTTGGACCAGCGGTGTTATAAGAACGCAGGTTCATTTAATGTCGGGTACAAGCCAAGCACTCACGGATGCGACAGGTTTTGCCCGGATTGGGACTGGTCACTAGGACCGCTCCGCTCAGGAATTTAAGCTCTAATATAGTTGCGACTAGCTAATTGCAAGTCGCGCAAGAAGAAGGATCAAATGTTTTACTTAGCCCGGGAAAATTTGAGTGTTTTTTTTAATTCATAGTGTATTCAGCTATCTAGCTATGACATATTTCTAACCTTCCCCTCCCAACAAATGACTACCCCTTTCTTCCAAATTTATTCTTTCCCAATTATTTGTCCTAATTTAACTCCCTTTATATGCTGCCATGCACTTGGATGTATCCAAATATTTTAGTAATGCTTCCTTCCCTCTTTTGTACAAAACAAGGTCGGAAGTGTTCTTGTATCTATACCCTTGAAGCATCTGTTTTTCTGGTCTTTGAATATGAACATTGTAACAACAGGTGCTGCACATTTTGCCTTTCTTTTCCACAAAAATTACATGTCTTATCTTGAACCTTCCCTATCATGTGCAAGTAGACCCTTGTGTTGCCTACTCCTAGCCTGGCCTGGAAGAATCCAGATTCCGTCTTTCTACTGTGTTCTTGAATTCCGTCTGGGTTGAAAGAAAATTTGGTATGATTAGCCTGAGCCTGTCGTACTTGCCGAGTCTTTTGGCCTTTCGGCCTTCCTCCTCGTGCCATAGCTCCAAGTCCCAGTCCTTCTGCCATGCCTCTAGCACCCATTCTCTAGCCTTCTGCTTGATGAAGGAGTGAGAGGTATTTGAAAGTTCTCATGGTGGCTAGGAGAGCAGATAAAACGCGTCGCAGTTGAGGACACACAGGAATGGAGTCGACATGGGTAGTATAGCTTTTCACGCAAAAACTATTCATTCTCATTGAGTTATCGACTTTCAAGTACTTCTAAATTTTTTAAACCCTGAACAATAGAGCAGAAGAGGGAGAAGGCTAGTCATTCCCCAACGATCCTATGCGATTATATCCCAGTTTAAAATTTGGGTCATTCGTGTGGTAGGTGCATTCGCTCTTACCACTTAAAACCATTGTGCCAGGGACTTTCATCCTTCCCTCAACCGTTAATATCCACCAAAAGGAAAACAGAAATAACCTTTGGCTACCCTAGCATGCCTTTTCCATCTTGTATATAGCTACCGCGCAAGACATGGCCTCAGAGTCTACTCTTTCACGAGTGAGATAGGTATCCAGGCTACCCAGACTTTCATTGGGAGAGATGATGGCCAGGGGGGCGAACCAAAACACCTTCCATCGTTGCCTGTTTTTAGAGTGTCGGTAGCACCATCCGAATCGTTGTCTCGGCGTCCACAAGCACTCCAACGTCGAAAACACTCGAAAAACGTGATTCTCGGTAAGCTCAATCGTGACTTCTTATCTCACCCGTCCCATGATCAAGCTGCCGGTCAATTTTCAAGATATGAAATTCCATTAGAACTACGGTTCTCCTGAGACTGAGATCCGAGCTTTGTAGATTATGACTTGATATCCTCCTCGCTGGTATACATAGCATTGCGAATGTGTAGTGGGAGATGGCCAGTTTTTTATGGGGTAAATGCCTGATTGCATTTGGAGTAACGCCATTATCGGTATTTGAGGTGGGGTGGTGTAGTAAGATTGAAGTGGAGTACTCGCGTGAGAATGATAGGTCGGACCTTGACGAGAAGTCGTCGATTTTTTACATGCTTGGGGTTGCTTTCGACTTCGATTCGGATAGAATTCTTCTTGGCTATCCTAGATATGCAGAGCATACTGAGCGACTACCTCGGTACCGTTAGAATGTGAAGTTGTCGACTTTGCCGGCTGTTGGGTGGATTAAACGAGGAAGGGTCTAGGCCGATAATAGCTAGACCAAAGGATTGAGACTTGCTTTCCAATAACCCTGCGCGTACGCAGTAGAAGCCAATCGGAAATCTATAAAACAAAATTTTCCAATTCGACCGCGGAGTTATTCTTCCCTAAAACAGGGCAGATGCAAAGTTGGCAAAATTGGCAGAGTCATCAGGAGAATGGATCAGAAACGGGGAGATGCGATACGAATAGAACATGGCAAAGAACGGAGTTTCCAACACAAAGAGCACTATTGAATGTAATCGATCATAAAGTTTCTGGACGGTCACAATAGACGACCACAAAAATCAGCGCATCACCATAAGGTCTAATACCTAGTGTGACAAAAGTATACAATTTGAGCTTGCCCGTTGCTTCGACATCTCAATTTTTAAATTTCTTATCAGCTATTTTCTATACTCCCAAATAAGCAACTCCTTGCAGGAACATCTATGATAGACCCTTTCGGCTGAAGAAACGAGGAATGAAAGACATCAAGAGACTGTGGAACCAAGGTAACCCCAACAATATGAATTCTAAAAAAGATTTGATAATTATTGGTGTAAAATTCTGATCGAGCTGAGCCCAATTAAATCTAATAGCATATTCCAATTTGCGAATGATTATCTGCGCATGTAGTCAATGTGCAGCAGATACATGGTGAGAAGTATATGCAGATCCGTCACTGATGCTTAACTAGAATCTAGCCAGGCAGAGCAAAGTGTTTGACTCTTACGCCAACAAGTTTGAGGGTAAACTTGATCAAATTGTCTATCATTGCTGCCCACTCCTCGGAAAATAAATGATTCAGCCAGCCACGCGAGTTTTTACAGTCGTGTCTTGAAATGTAAACTAACCGCTTTACTGGTGTGGAGTCTGAAATGGTCAGACACTTCTGGCAATCTCTCCGCATAAAGTAGATCCAACTCAGAAGCCATAAACACATGAAAACCCTGGATATAGTTTTTTGGTATGTCTTATTTTGGGGAAAAGAGGCGAAGTATATTGAAGATAACGTAGAAACCAACTTCCGCAATATCGCGCAATAAGTGGCAAAGACGCGGATTAATAACTGAGTGATCATGCTGACTAAAATCATCATCTTAGATTTAATTAGAGGATGTATGTGTTTTGATAAAAAATTTCCAAATCTGCAATCTATTGACTGCAAAGGTTGAGAACGACTATAATCACAAGGGAATTGCTGACTACAGTTACTGTATAATGGCATCTTAGGCTGGAATAGCTTGTCCTGGTCTTCATTGTTATCATCGAAAATCAAGCGGTCCATGTTAAAAGGAACAAGGTCACTTCGAAGCCAAAACTGGTGGTTGGAATTAAGGGTGAAAGGCTTGTATGAGGCTTGAAACTTCTTCGCACAAATAGAAGAGGTAAGATTAACGGTAATGCAACTCAAACTTGATATAGTGGTTCTTTTATCTGATCCAGAATTAGTTGGCAGTTCTCTTGTGGACAGGATTGTTAAAAGTTCAGTTACAGTGTAACTAGCTTTATACACTGTCATTTCTCGAACTAGTTCTGGAAATCTGGTGCCAGAAAGTATGATATAAATGGCAACAAAGTTAACCAGATCAATATCTACTAGACCCAAGTAGCTCGAGTAGTGATTATTGTTGTTTTGTTCGAATGAGATGGAACTCTGCTGTTTTGTTTTAAAAAACCCAGGAAGTGAGACGAGACCAACATTCAACTTGTCCTTTTTATCATATATCAAAATTCTGTAGGATACCGAATTTCTTGTTTTCTTATGATGTAGCCTGTTTAGACAACTCCGAGTAATTCTTTGCCCGTGTCGCTTTTTTGATCTGCTTTTCCAAGCTTCTTTCTCTTTCACAAAGGACATGCTTGTTCCTTGCGTTTCTCTATTTCTCTTTCTGACTGCCTGACTTTTATTTAAATCCTGAATCGTCATTTTAAGATTTACGACTTGTATTTCAAGGCTCGTAGTCTGCTCTCTCAATTTCATCGCCTCAGTCTGTAATTTTGTCTTTTCGGCGGTGAGAAGATCAACTTCATCTTGCAGTATCTTATTGTGGTCACCAATTTCTCGGAGGAGAGTTTCGTTATCTGCCAACTGTAGATTGAGACTGTGGACTTGGAATTCCCTTTCATCATGATTTCTAGACAATTGTCTACTCAGAATTATTGAATTAGTCTTACACTGCTTAAGTTCGATCTCATTTTGGCTATGGGCGTCTTCCATCTGCGTGATATAGGAGGCTTGAAGTGAAGCTTCGGATTTTATTCGCATTATTTCCTCATTTTTCTTTTCAATTTGTAATCTGGCTTCATTATAGTCTGCCAATAACTCTGTGCACTGCTTTTCTGTGTGTTCAATCTGCTCGAGGAGCTCTTTGTTACGTTGTTCAAGTCTAGATTTGAAGGCGAGGCATGACAACAACTCTTCGTCTCTATTTCCCATTTTCTGTATAGATCTGTGGTCAAAATTCCATCAGTCACTTCAAGGAAAGTTCAGTTTAGGAACAGGATAGCTGGGATTCTTACTGTGGAGTGTTAGTGAGAGGACATGGCCGGCCTTTGCAAGATTTTTATGGCCACTCAAGTCACTCTACCCGAAAGGTGGTGATATAGTGTTCATTTACAAAGACTAGATATAAGTCTGCCATAATTCAGACTAGCTTTTCTCATATTCACATTCACTTCAAACCAAATTCCGAATCAAGGATCCGGTACCTGATCCGAGTGATAAAGTTTAAGTAGAGATCTACTAAAGGCTCGAATATTTGGAAGGACACTAAAAAAACCTTGTGTTTGATTTAATGGACATGTCTTAAAGCTTCAAAATATTCTATATTAATATAATGGTAGCCACTATTAATACAAATAACTTATACAAAAAGGATTCTTGATTTTAAATAACATTTTCACGTCTCAATCTATGTCTAAAAGTAGTATACGAGTATCATACAATAATTTTTGCATTTGAAAAACTTACAATTCTTTGGACATACTTCCCAGACAGAAAAATAACTGCCAGGTATCAATTTGAAGGAGAGTTGATCTGTTTGTTTTTGGCTTTAAAAAAACACTAAATTTCACGTGAAGCTGCGTAGCGCTTGATGCAGCCTTTGGTATCAATTTAAAATGGCAAGAATCGATGTTCACTCTTATTTATCAAATTGCCGACATAAGACCGTTTTGGCGACATCACGGCGGGTATGGGAGCTGATGTGGGTCAATCTAACAGTCTCGATGCGGCGCGACGCTAACAGCAACGATGGCAAACAAATCTGGAGGCAGTGGGATGTAGAAAGCTGCAAAGGATAGAAAACTTGAAATCTCGGGGAGCTCGTTGAAAAACGCTAGACCCACTATAATAGGTGAAGTAGAGGAGTAATATTATCCTTTTACAGAGGGCATCAACGAAGCCGTTAAGACTTTTAGAAATTAAAAAAGGCCTAGATAGCGATGTCTGGCAATAAGTCTCTAATCGGGAGGATAATGGTGCTAGAGAAGGGAGTCAAGAAGCGTCTCGCGGATCGCGCCCGAGGTTGGTTTCAACAACAATTTCTGCGTCCCTGGCCCAAAGAACATATGCGTCCATCTCGGCGCTGCTAATAGTAGGAAATATTTTCTGCACAAGAATCGATCGAACAAAGTCTTGCAGCCGAAGGAGCTATATCCAAAGGCAAAAGAGCATATCAAGGGTGTTCATGCTATAGTTTTGCATCGGCCTTGAATTGAGTATGCAGCTTTCTAGCTATGACACAAAATCAGAGAAAAAGTACATAGTAGATGACTCTTTTGACGTTAGAGACACTCACACTCCGGATTTCATTCGCAAGTAGCACTTTGAGGTGTGTTCGCTTACACAAACAGTCGACCCTCCTCCGTAAGAACCCACTAAAGGGAAATTCAAAAGCTTTGATTATGCAAGCATGCCTTTGTCATCTATGCACAAGAGCACCTTTATAAAAATGGATGAGCTTAGCCATATTCGAACAAGCGGTCTTCTCAAGTGGGATATGTGTTTGAGCTTTCTAGGGTGAGTGTGTGGGTTTATGAGCTACTTGTATCATAGACCATCTAGCACTTTGGACTACTCCCTGACCTAGGCCACACTTTGTACAGTGCTCCTATTCTCTTTTGTTACTCGAAAGATCATTGATATCTTGCCCTTGATCAATAGCCATTCAGCTCGGAATTTACTCGTGGAATTCAGCCACATTTTCCACGGAACCTTCTACTCAAAAAAATGGTAGCCACGGAAACTGCGTGCGCGGGAAAAAGTCTCAAAAAACCTGCAGCCCCAGCCAGACGAGGCCTAGATACCATTGTCATAGCCCAGTAGCTGAATAAGATATGAATTTGTTTTTAAAAAAAAGAGGCCTAGATGAGGTTCCTGATGGATTAGTATGTGTGAAAAGTAAGATAAGCTTAGCTTTAAGATGGGGTAGGTTACGGGTGTCTTGTGGCTCCAAGCTACCAATATGTATAGTAGGTCTTAAGACTAGATGTGACTTGGTTTTCTATTCACACAGGGTATCGTCTATACAAGTATAATATTACTAATCTTGCGCCCGGACTCCAACGTGAACAACATTACATAAGCATTACAATTTATCAGAGCCTCGTACTAATCTATAGGTCTGCCATTCTTGGATCCTCATAGATACCGAAACCACATGAGGTGCGCATATCCATCGATATCTCCCTTATTTATAACATTAGAGGCCGACTTGATCCAAACCACCATCTCCTTATCGGGTGCTGGGTACGTACTACAAACTCATCGGATGGCTTTTCCTCCATGATCAAGTATTGATCATGGAGAAGGGCTACGACCCCAACATCTGATCTGATCGTGGTTAGCTCCATGGTAATGGTGATAGGGGATGTGTTTTGGGATGAAGACGATACAGACCGCGAAAGCGAATGGAAATCTTCGTCGAAGTGAGGACTTTGTTACTCAATCTCGGCTCTGCAGACTCTACAGTGAGAGCTGGAGGTTTGTAGGGGACACCACCGACAGGTGTTGAGTAAAGTCCTCCTGTGCAACTATATTTGTTGTTTGTAATTATATAGGTTACCCCCAAACACTTAATAGATTTAGTATTTCGAGTGGAACTGACATTGTAATGAGATCTTGGCACGATTTAAGGGTATAGGTCTGAACAGTCAGACTCGTTTAATTTTATCATAGATGTATCACTGTTGTAGAGTAGACAAGAAACAAGAACATCTTTATCCCAAAACACATTGTTATCTTATCTGATATCGAGACACGGGCCATCCAAAAAATATAAGCAAAGAACTTTCAAATACAACTATCAATTATTTCATGTATTCGTGAAACTTGACCCGCTACTTGACCTCTTTCACTCAAGATGCTTCAACACCTCCTTCATTGAATAAAGAAAAATTATTTGCATAAAAATTGGGGCATATTTGGTGCAGTATTAAAACCGATTTCAATTACCAATACAGTTAAGTTTGATAATGGCTAATTTTCCATCGAAAAACCATCACGTGAGCTGATGCTAGCGAATGAGGATGTCTAGATAGGAATTGGAGCAGAGACACCAACGCTATCTAAATACGAATATCCACATGTAGTTTAAGTTCCGCTTTTAATTATATAATTTATATCAATTTAAGAAGAGTCTCACTGATCTGGCGACTATGCGGACCGGGAGCAGTGGGGTCTTTATCGGGTTTTTGTTATGGGAATGCCGGTGCGTCGGGTAGCCCTTTATAGGCTGAGCTAACCGGCATGGGGCTTTAAAGCACTGTGTTGTGCGCAGGCACGACGTTAATATAAATAAATAAATAAATAAACAAATAAATAAATAAATAAATAAATAAATAAATAAATAAATAAATAAATTGGAGCAGAGACATTAGCTGTCACATTTTTAACTTTGCGTCAAAATTATCTCTTTTATGCGTCTCTGTTTTAGATTGTCTATTAGTATGACACCGATTATAAAGTAAACTTCAGGAAATATTAGTTAAGACAAATATTATGCATCCAACTCCTTGCTGAACCTAGTCCCAAATAAATCCCCGTTGCCTACCTGAGCTATTACCCTATAATAAAAAGCTAGCATAACACCGCTGGCTAATGGTTGTTATTTATATTCATCTTTAAGGAACCATATACCTCGTGCTCCGTTCCGCTTATCAACTTCAAGCCGGGCAATCTCCCTCAACTTGAGTTTAAACTCATCCGTTTGCTCAGGAGTCTGGCACATACGATTGAAATGATTTACTAAAGCTTGTGATGGTACAGATCCACCTTTTCTACGAATAAAACATTGGATCAGGCGAACAAAGTCTCTGTTACTAGCAGGCCGCGTAGATGCCAGTGGACTAGCCTCAGACAAGCTGTTTCTGTCAAGAAGATGTTGGTGATTTGCAAGACCAGTAAAGCCATCTGAGTGAAGGGCGCGAGCATACCGGAAATTAGCAGGTCTTCCAGCTGATCCATGCTCTCCAGTCCAGGTAACGGTTCCAGGTGTAAGCTCGCGAGCCACTTCACCAGCCTTACGCAATTGAGCTGCTGCTAATGCAGCAATTTTCTTAGCTTCTCTCTCAATAATACCACGATCGGCTGTTATTTTCTTTTTGCCATTAATAATTTGATCATGCTCAAGTGCACCTTGGACGCCAGAGCCAGCAAATATTCCCTCCATTAGTCGAGCTTCCTGAGACTTTGGTATTTCTTCTTGGCTATTACCACGGTACGTTTCAAGACCAGCTACGCCATCTAAATTACAAACCTCAGGTTTTAAGTCACCCTGTCCATACTCCTCGATTCTCTCTAGAGTAGGGTCATGGTCGTAATGCACATGATCAGGTCTTGTAGGAGTAGTCTGATACTGAACTTCAGCACCTTCAAACATCACTCCAGTTTCCGTAGTCCCACCATCATTATCAGCTAGCGAGAAAAGATCGTAAAGGTCTTTCATCTGAAATGTCTGGCGTTGCTTCGGATCTTTTAGCACTTTGTTCGTCAAAAACTGCTTAAAAATCTGCCGATGATACATCTTTTCCTCAATTGTACCAGCTGTGATAAGTCGATAGATGGTTACTTCTTTCTTTTGACCCAACCTCCACGCACGTTCACGAGCTTGAACATCGGTTGATGGATTCCAATCTGGATCGAAGATAATTACTCTATTAGCGCCTGTGAGGTTAACTCCTAGGCCGCCAACTTTTGTTGTCAGAAGAAAAACGTGTAGATTAGGGTCTGAATTAAACTGATCAACCAATGTTTGTCTATCTTTGATGTTTGTACTGCCATCCATCCTGAGGTAGTTATAGTTACAATTATCTTTGATAAGGTCTTCCAGAATGTCAAGCATCTGTACACCCTGGCAGAATAATAGAGTCTTATGGCCAAATTTTTTCCAGAGACTTAGAAGTGATTCGACGATTTTCATTTTCCCTGACTTATTTGGATTAGCCCATTTGTACCCAGACTTCACTTTCAAGTGAGGATCCAAAAGATCTGGATGATTGCAGATCTTCTTCAATATATCAATTCCATACAAGGATTGACGTGTACGATTCATGATGGAAGCCATTTCTTCTGAGGCTAAAAATGTTTCGTAAGCACTTCTCTGAATTTTTGTAAGCTTTACAAGTAATACCTGCTCGGTTTTCTTGGGTAGGTCGGAAGCAACATCAACTTTTAAGCGTTGCAAAAGATAAGGACTTATTGTAGCCTTTAAAGTTTCTGCACATTTAGTAGCAGCCAAGACTTGTAAATTGGTCGAATTAGCGTAGCCACCCTGCTTGATTGGTGTTTCAAAGGTTTGTCGAAAATCGATAAGTGTGCCAAGACGCATGGGGAATACAAAGTCAAATAGGGACCAAAGTTCAATCAGATTATTTTGCATGGGAGTTCCGGAGAGTATTATTCGATGCGGAGTTTTTAGTTCCTTGCAATAAATTGTAATAGCTGTATTTGGATTTCGAATTTTGTGCCCTTCGTCTAGGACAGCATACCCCCAGTTCACTGGTATTAAAACATCTGCATAAGTCTGAAGACCAGCATATGTTGTGACGAGAACGTGACCATGCTGAATGACACGATGGACTATTTTTTGAACTTTCTTGGGTGATTTTTTCCTGGTCCGATTAAATTCTTCCTCATCATCACTTATATTCTCATTTCGTATATTTACCATACCACTTCCTGAGCTATGAAGGATAGAAACACGCATGGGTGGCCACCATTTATGAAATTCGTTAACCCATTGTCGCAGGACTGTAGCTGGAGCGACAACAATTATTGGCTTCGATAACTTTTTACTGTAGTGTAAGCCAGCCAAAAAGGATATTGTCTGTATAGTTTTCCCAAGCCCCATCTCGTCACCAATGATACCTCCGACCTGTTGGTTGTAAAGTTCTCCTAGCCATTGTACACCGGTCTTCTGATATTCAAATAGAGCCGGATGTATATCACCAGGGAGAGATAGGCCATTCCCAAAATTATAATCAGGTACATCTGGACACGGTTTGAACCATTCCTCCTCGCTTAAATTGTTTTTGTTCTTTTCTCGTGTATTATTTTCACCAGATTCCTTATTTTGCAATCTTGCTTTACTCCTCTTCTCGACCCAAATCTCTAATCTTTTTTGATACATGGATTCATTTCCATCATCAATTCCCGTAAGGTCTGTGTTATCATACAAATTTGACTCCTGGGCTGTCCGCTTCTTTGACATCTGAGAATTATTCCGTTGATTATATTGACTATCGCTTGAGCTGTGGACATTAAAGGAGTCTTTAATTAAATCATCATTATTTGAGCTTGATTTGGCCATTGAATTTGACATGTTTTTAGTCTCGTCCAGCTTCCTCTTCTTTCTTGGTCTCAGGGAATACTCATCTTCGACGTCTGCTTCAATAAACCCTGGTAGTCGCAAGTGCTGATGAGATCTTGGTTCTTTAGGATCGCAGGAAGTTTGATGATTAGCCTCTATATGCTCATTTGTTGTAGCTTTAGTATAGGATCCATCTGCATCATCTAGCTCTTGGTCCTGGATTTGTGAAAAGGGAGTTATTTTTCCGGTCCGAATAAGAAAGTCTTTTCGGGTTTCATTTGGCATTATATTGCATGAGTCAGTGCTTATATTCTCAGGCTGTGAATCATCACAATGCCTTTGCTCAATTCTGGATTGGATTTCTTCAATATCTTTTTTATGTAGATTAACTTCAATCTTGATCTTCTCGAGCTCTTGGAGGCACCGGTTTCGCGCGATAAGGTTATTAGCTGTCGCATCAAGGCGACGCTTTAGTGAATTTTCTTGAGTTAAAAGTTTCTCAAGTTTAATTTGAGCCTTGTCAATTCGCTTTTGGTCGCGATCGTTTTCTTGCTCCATAATGAGCCGAGATGCCTGATTGGAGATATCTCTCTCAAGATCATCTTGATCTCGCACATCTGCTGTAAGGTTTTTTAGCACACTTGATTCGTCAGCAATACAAGTACCGTCAGTCTTTTCGGCCTCTATAATATCATGCTGGATTCCTACTCCGTTATTTGTAGTCATGCCATGGTCGTCTATATCTATAGAAGTAGGCGTTTCAGCTTCAACAGCAAAGCTATCGCGGTGTAGTAGGAGATCCATTTCCATGCCATTAAATTTTTAAACTGGTTGTTACCGTTATTCTCGTTTCGTGAGACTTTGAGCAAAAAAATACATGATTTACAGGTTATGACAAGGTTGTTAGAAGTGGTAATGGGTTAGCAGTTGTTAGGTATTGTGTACGTCATTGACTGGGGCCAGATCCGCATGACTCATAATAAGCTTACAATGAAGGGAATTATTTGCACTTGACAGATTGCTCTGCTAAAAGTGATACACGGTCATAAATCCAATCTACAAAAAATTATATGGAAAGAAGACATGGACCGAGAACCTATCCATGGTGTCCACTACGAACTTGAGATTGAAAATTTTCATGGAGCTAAGTTCAGTCCAATTACGCAGAATAGGAGAAGTTGGTCCACGAGTTAATGATTTATGCCTCTATATAGAATCAATCTATCACTCCCAAAGAGATAATTTCCCACCAAAGCCTAATCCGATTTACAAGTAAGACCCAGTATCTTCACATGCCAATGACTATGCCTTTCATCGACTAATTTTCTGGCCTCAAATAGTTACCGAATACACGCCCACGCTAATATTTACATCTGTCAGAGGTAATAAATCATCGCGCATAATTCGGGAGGCAACTCTCTAAGGTAGACATGGGAAAATTGGGGCAAGTTTAAAAGATGATGCAAAGGAAGTAAACACACTTAATGGGTTTGAAATATCGAATTTTGGCGAGGAGGGTTTTTAATTCGATGGGCATTGTGCGCGCCAAGCCTTCAATTGTTAGAGTGCAGTTGAATGTTAAGATAACTCGTGATTTTCAAAAGTTTCCCCTGAGTAAGAATTTACGGATGAGGGCCGACTTGGGTTGAAGAAGATATCATAACTTCGCGTTGGTACTCGCAAATGAAATTTGAGGCAGGACTGCTACATTTTTAAATTCTGTCATTTATTCTGTATTTTACTTCTGATACTGTTAAATAGTTTGACAGCTGCGGATACAAGTAAAACCTGATTCAAAAAATGAAACTGTCCCAGAGATTTCAGTTACACATACCTGCAGCATACTGTTAGGGTTTGACCGTTGTTTGAGCTTAGGCGGATACCTAAGCCTAATATTGGGAATTCTTACGATGAGGCTGTATGAGGGGGAAACGAAGCTGAACGAAACTGCACTACTAGTTAGGAGGCTAGCGCTATTACAACTTAGTGACACCTGGAAATACGTGGCTGGGTTAGAAGTATTGTGCCTAAGGATAAGTCACTAGTCTGCAGATTCAAAAGGAGGATCAACTCTTATAAATACCTGTTAGTAGTAGATATTGGTTACTTTTCTTTTCTTACAGTTTACTAAATCGATTTATCCATCACCATATCAGTTTCAGTCACACATAACTGGTCTCACAATTGCGTAAATAATAGACCTAGTAATATTTGAATTAGGTGTCTCAGTGTGACGCCATACTCAAAATTACTCAGAATGAGGCACTCGAGCTCTTGTGCAGGACTATAGTTGAACGTTCTTGGAGTCTCTTTCCCGGAAAATATCCAAGGCGGAATGACCACAAAGAACAAAGTCTTAAAAAAACGAATCGAGGCCACCAAGCGCAGGATTTTTGTTCAGATCAGGTCCTTATCAACGATGTCTAGCCTTAATTGTGCTGTGACAGAAACCGAGTTGGTTGCGAATAAATCGATTTATTAAACTATATGAAGAGAAAAGAGAACTCTTGCTACGACTAACAGGTATTTATAAGAATTGGTGCCCTTCGTCAATCTCTAGGCTGATGACTTATCCTTAGGCACAATACTTGCTACTCAGCCACGCATTGTCAGGTATTACTTAGTTGTAGTAACGCTTCGACCTCCTGACTAGTAGTGCCGCCTTTAAATATTCCCAACAATCCACTTAGGTATTCACCTAAACTCAAACAACGGTCAAACCGTAACATGAGCTATGTTGCAGGCTACTGTTACAATTATTCATGGGGTCATAATTAGGGCTGTGAGTATTCTAAACGTCAAATTATGTCATCCTACTCAAAGTACATATCTTCCGATAAAAACCTGCATGAACCTCAAGGCATCAAATCAGGATAATCAATATTTATTATTGTTATTACCCTGATATATTGTCTACAAAATTATCCGTATTCACGGCCTACGCGCGTAAATCATACACCCATCCCGATTATTCGGCTCCAATTCAGATAGTACCAATAGTGCAATTCGTACTGAAATTTACACATATCTAACACGAAGATGCACCTTAAGTAGAAGATTAAAAACTATTGTCAGAATGGATAGAAATTATCAAAATCATGTGCTGCCCAACGACGGCCACCCACATCAATTCATCGACCAGAATGTAGAATTTGTTCACATATACCCTCTCCTCGACTTCGTTCTAAACCAAGAAAGTTTCTCAACGCTATGCAAGGGTGTAACGCTGTAGTCAGTCCTATTATTCTCAGTCATGAAATTATTTCCCTAGCAAGCTTATTCAGAAAATTGGAGAATGAACTTCGCCAGTATAAGAATGACTATGACACACAGCTCGAAAAAAACCATGAACTCTCTAATGTTGTTTCTGACTTAAATACAATACCTACTACCACTGAAAGAAAAACTTCAAAGCATTGTATTTACCAGTCTACTCAATACCCTGTGAAGAAAAAGCCGTCATAACTTCGCAGTGGTACTTGCAAATGAAATCCGAGGCATGAGTGCTCTTTACGTTGAATCATCTATTCCGTACTTTTTTTTGATATTGTGTCATAGCTAGATAGCTGCATACGCAATTAAAATCTGATGCAAAAAAACTCGATACCCTGATTCAGATGTATTTTCTGTGGATAACGTTGATACCTACAAAGAACTTCCCATATTTGTCCCAAAAATTAATATGAAGATTTTTGCAAACAAGGACTGGTACCCTTCTGAGCAAATTAAGATACTATATCTAATTTCTCGCCTTAAGGGAAAAGCGAATTCTACTATTTCTCACGGTAAAAATCGAAATGGTTCTGTCAAATACCGATCTGTTGATGATATTTTTGTCCTACTCGAACAAGCATTCAGGGAGATTGATCCTTGTAATGCTGCTCGTAGGAAAATACTTACCATTAAACAAGGCCAGAAAGACACTGCCTCTCACCTCATTAACTGGTATGAGGTCGCTCAAAAAGCTGAGCTCTCTGATGATGCCTTAATTAACCATTTATACGATTCTGTCCACCCAACTATTGTAACTCATCTTCAAAAACGTGTAATGTTATGCCAAGAATTACCGACAGATCTCACATCATATTTAATCGAGGCTCGCCACATTGATGCTGTTCTTCGTTCATCTGATCCTCAATACACGAAAGCCCCCAAAGTTCTATCTATACTGTCGAGAGAAATGATTGACTCAAGCGTGTCTAAAAGCACTCAATTTGCTATCTGGTCTCCAACTGACACTGAAAACCACCGAATTCCACGAAATAACAAAGAAAGTAGAGCTAAACTTAAATACTACTTTGAAAATAAACTTTGTAGCTTGTGCTTTGACCCTAGCCATCATGCTTGAATCTGCCCAAAAGCTCACTGGAATCAGGATAAAAGAAGGTACAACAACAATAAGATTTTTTACCAGTACGAAAAAAGTTCAGTTCCCAACTTTAATCGGAATCAAGCACTAAATGAAGAGCAGCAAGGAAATAAGTCAAAAACACAAGAGAAAGAACAGGTTTACTTGCATAATAGTAAAGAAAGGACACAAATCTTGTCCCTTTTAGAACCCCACAACGATCGCATTCTACTCTCCTGTAACCTTCTTGGAAACAAATTTAATTTCTCCACACAGTCATTCCTTGACTGTGGTGCCACTGACAAATTTTATAATTCTAACTCAGCAAAAACACGGAACCTCCCACTTATACTACTTCCACAAACTCGTCAACTCTTTCTCGTAGATGGTACGCCAGCTGCTAAAATAACCCATTCAACTACCGTTAATCAAAACATCGAAGGCCATGAAGAATCTATAACCTTTTTTATCACAAATGTAGGAAAATTTGAACTGATTCTTGGACGAAAGTGGCTTATGAGGCACAACCCCTCGACTAACTGGACAAATGATTGTGTTTTTTTTAGCTCAGACTATTGCAAAAAAATGCCTCCCAATCGGTATTAACTAATTAAATGAATCAAGTGTTAAAATTAGAGCTCATAATTCACTATCAGAAATTGACACAAATAGAAATAGGCGCCCGAGAAAGGTTGAAGCTGCAGCTTTTTATGCCCTCAATGCAAAATGGTGTCAAGATATTTTCTCTAACCCTAAACAAAGTTGACAGTAGATTGAAAGAAATGGGTAGCGAGCCTAATAGCTCAGCGCAAATGACTCCTCAAACTTCCTCAGCCATTAATATTACACCGACTCAAAAAATGTTCCGGAAATTACACCTGTCAAGCAAATCTCTTAAAAGCCGAATTCTTGCTTCGAAGCTATTGAATCAAATTTAACAGGAGTTTCACTTGAAGACATCCAAATTGCGCTCCAGACAAAAGAGCGACCCAACCCTGCAAGCAAACTTCCGGCACACTATCACCATCATTTGCCTGTTTTTAGTCACAAGGGTGCCGACTTGCTTCCTCCCCATCGCAACTATGACCACAAAATTGAACTTAAGCCTGGTATAGTGCCCCTTCATGGCCCTTGTCAGAGGAAAGCTAAGAATGATACAGTTGGGTCTGAATCATGAGCTATATTTAATCTAAAGAGAGAAAATTCTATGTGCACGAAATTATCATGAAAACTGTATGCCGATGTGACGGGCTTTGCCCGGATTGGGACTGGTCACTAGGACCACTCCGTCTCCGAGGTAAGGTAGTGGCAGGGCAACGCTCCTAGATAGACGAAAGGGGCGCTAAGGGGGTACGCAACAGATGGGGAGTACGATACAGGAGAAGAGTTGTGCCGGGAGAAAGGATGATTCTCAGGTGGCCAATGGAGGGAGTTAAGACTAGTCTACACAGAGCATATAACG